AACCAACCGGCGTACTTTGTGTGTCATAGGCTTGTCATGAGCAAACTGTGTGTCTGGATTTCCTGCATCAGGTCTGGGATTTTTTACTCTGTCCCAGACACACAGCTCGCTGAATCATTTAGCTGGTGGCTTCTCTGATGCAGCCATCCTGGTGGGAGACATACCAGTGGTTTTCTTGGCGATGTGGAGGCATTGAGCCCGCTGGAGCCAGAGTTGAGGCATTGAGTGAGCGGTCTGACTCGTGTCGAGCCACATGTGGTGTGGTTGTAGACTGATCGCTGCAGGTATACTCACTGTGGAGCTTATGGTTGTTTCAGAGCTTCATCTAAGTTACCTCATCTTCCCAAGGGGATGTGAGCTCCTCAAGTTGAACAAATTATAGTTTATAAGGAGGTTATTATTTTACCCACTATTTTGTGGCACCAAGTTCTCATTCAAGCAGAAATGAGTGATTTGGTTTGTGGAGCTTTAGGAGCAGGAAGATTTCATGGTAATTTCTTTTCTTAACAGACTCCCAGTTTGTCCAATGTGAACACCATGAGACCAAAGATCTTAGTGCTTCACAACATAAAAGTTTGTATAAAAAAGGTTCATCTGAGAGACTTTTTATTTAAACTAATCTCAGCGTTGTTCCTTTTAAAACTTTTCTTCTAGTTTTGTGAGCTTGAAATGTTTCTTTAGGTTTTACGTTTAGGTTTAGGAACTAAATCCTTTTGCTTAAAGTTGCAAAGATCAAACCACATGTTTAAAATACACTTTCCAAATGAGGTTGAAGACCCCTGTGAAGAATTAATAAGCACTTAATTAGACAATGCAGTGCTGTTTTAAAATGTTAAAACAAGAACAGCTCACTCCCATGACCTGCAGGCTTGTTCTTGGCAGAAACTGTAAAAAATGAGTCAAATAACCTGAATGTTCTGAAATATAAGCTTGTTTGTCAGTAAGATGAATTCAGATGGCAAGCTGCTGCAGCCGTCGTAGTCCTGAGGTTGCAGGTCCGAGTCCAGGTTGTTCAGGAAGGGCGTCCGGCGTGAAACAACTGCCAAACGTTTCATGCAAGCTTGCTCACTGTGGCAAGCAGCCGAAAGTAACTTACTATGAATTTAATTTGACACACATAACGTTGCACTTTATTATCCTAACTGTCACATTAATAAACCTGCAGTCTAAGTTGTAAAACATAAAAGGCTGTAGATGCAAACAGGGCAACAAAGCCACAACAACCACATTTGCACCTTGTAAAAGAATCAGTCTGTTTACCTTCGAGGAGACGTTTATTGTGCATTAACGTTGACATAATGCTTCTCAGGCCACTTCCAGCTCAGCACTTTGCAGAGCTCACACATTAATCAAACAGACATGTCTGACCCGGCTAAATTAGGGATCGGGACTCGTTTTATGGTTTGTTGCTGGAGGACGAGGTTTCCCTGTATTGACGCAGAATACTGCAGAGGTTACCCCTCGTGTTGTATCGATTTCAGCTCGACTTGTCGTTTCTGTCATGAAAACTAGAAGAGCTGCAGGGCTTTAGTGAAAACCATGATCTAAAGATGGGGCGAAAAATAACCCAACAACCAGGGTGTTCTTCTCTGTCATCTCTGAATGCACAAGTCAGTATTTAAGCACAACAGTGAGGCCATTTGAATCAGTGTCCAGAGTCTTAATGGTGATGTTTCTTCTGTACAAAGCCTGGACCGCAGTGATTCTTAGTGGTTTAAAACGTCCTTCTCCCTCCATGAAAAGAGCAAGAGAAAGAAAAGAAAAAAGTGAGTAAGCGTGCCAGCGGCCGGCCCTTTAATTTTCCATGAAGCCTTTTGTAAGGGAGTCGCTATGAAGTGAAAGCACAGTGTGCAGCTGTCCTCTTGGCCCGTTGCTTGTGAGGCGTTTTCTTGTCGAGAATACTAATAGTGATAGCCGCCGTGTAGAGTCCGCCCAGCTGGCAAGAACACAGATGACAATTATACCCTCAGAAAAGAAGGCCGGTTGATTTGACAATTTATAGTGCGCTGTGTGTGCTGGCTCCTTTCGAAGAGCGAGTTTGATATACAAATACACAAAAAAGTCAATTTTATTAGTACTTGTTGAACTTCAGGCTCTAATTTATATATTTTGTTTTTGCATCTTAATGAAAACAAAATGAATCCTTGTATTTGCTCTTTACATTGTAGATAATTATTTCTTTTTCCCTCTGATGTTTTTGAAGTCTCTGTCAAGCATTTTGTTCGTCATCAAAAATTAAGGGAAAGCTCAAATGTTGACCAAAATAAAAGTATTTGATCGGGAGAAGAATTTTGTTTTAGATCACTGAAGAAGAGTTAAAAGTCAGAAAGTGAAACTATTTCTGTTTTTTTTTTCAGCCTTTAGTTACATTAAAGCATTAAGGGGTCACCAGCTTCACAAACTGAATATCTGCTGCATGAACTGGGCTCTCTGTTTCCACCACTGTCAGTCTGCCACTGCTGCTAAAACTTAAAGGGATGGTTCAAATATTTTGAAGTGAGGTTCTGGATATTCTTATTCTTACCTGTTGTGGATATTTTTTTAATGACCTCAGTTTGAAGCAATAGTTTAATTCAGTGATGACTGATGAGTTAATCAAAAATGCTGCTGCCAGAGTGTTAACTGGAGTTAGTAGGAGAGATCATATCTCTCCAGTTTTACCTTCCCTCCACTGGCTCCCTGTCAAATCCAGAAATGAATTCAAAATCTTACTCCTAACCTACAAAGCTCTCAACAACCTAGCTCCATTTTATATTTGAGTTCTTATTGTTCCATATTTTCCTAACAGAGCACTTTGCTCTCAGACTGCAGGCTTACTTGTGTTTCCTATAGTTTCCAAAAGCAGAATGGGAGGAAGATCTTCCAGTTATCAGGCTCCTCTTTTGTGGAACCAACTTCCAGTTTCTGTCCGTGAGGCTGACACATTGTTCAGTTTTAAAACTGGGCTCTTTCCTTTTTGATACATCCTATAGTTAAGGTTGGCTTGTTATGCTGCTGTAGGCTTACACTACTGGAAGGCAAATTGAATGATTTATTGTGATTCTTGACCTGCCATTGTGTATCTGTTCCTCCTTCCTGTTCCTCTCAAACCCAGATGGTTGAAGCAGATGGCCGCTTGTCCTGAGCCTGGTTCTGCTAAAGGTTTCTTCCTCATGAGGGAGTTTTTTTCTTTCCACTGTCGCCTTCATGCTTGCTCAAGATGAGAGTTCTGTGATAGAGTAGTCTGCTCCTCAGATAGTAACTTATTTTTATATATGAATGTTTCTGTTCAGTGCCCTGAGATGACTTCTGTTGTGACTTGGCGCTATATGAACAAACTGAATTGAACTGAATTGAATTAACATTTTGATGAGGACTGCTCTTAAAACAGCTCTAGTTTGAATAAAAATAAATTGATGTAGACATTAATTTATAAACCTTTATATTGACATCTGTTATAATTACATGATTACTCCAGCAAAAATGTTTTGACAGGTCTCCAACCACCGGGACAGGAGCTGATATGGATCCATGGATTATTTGGTACTGATCTCCAGAGAGAGAGAAAACAATGAACCTTTCTTTAAAAAAATCAAAATGAACATTTTTATAAAATGCAGGGTATTTTATTTTTTTAAATGAACACTTTCCTTGGTGCCTCTTTCCTGCACTTGTCTCAGCTGCAGGTATTTTTAACATACTGATAAACTTACAAGTTAACCTTAGACAAAATGAGTAAAAACCAAACGTACACACCTACACAGATAAACACGCGCACACAATATAGCATTTTGTACTAATACAAACTGTGGGGTTGGATAAAGGTACCTTGAAGTCATAAAACTAAAGTAGCGTTTTGCTCAGACTCATCTTCTAAATGATGAATGAACAGTTCCATCTTCCTAATTGTCTTTGCGGAGGCTGTGTGAGGTCACGGCAGACATCCTGCCAGGCCTGCTTGGTTAATAACAGGACCAGGCTGGTGACGGAGGCCTGGCGGGATGCCTCCGGGCTGAGCCACTGTCATTACCTCGCGGAGGTGATGAACAGCTTGTGGACTCAGCCCGCACTATCACTTTGTCTTTGGAAACCAGAGAAGCCTACTGCAGGTTGAGCTCAGATACTTTTGCTTATTTATCTTCGGAGACTCCTGTAATTAAACTAAAAGCAACTACTCCAAAGTAATGTAAAAACAAGGATTCACCCTTTAAAACCAGCAGATTACAGATATTTTGGTTTAAATGTTTACCTGTAAAAATAATGCTGCTTAATGGCAAGAAAGAACAAAATACAATTCGTGGTGCTGGACTTTACTAACGTATTTTTCAGACTATAAGGTGCACTTAAAATCCTTTAATTTCCTCAAAAATTGACAGTGAGCCTAATAATCAGGTGTGCCTTATGTTTTAATTCTGGTTGTGCTTATTGACCTTGAACCGATTTTATGTGGTTATTGTGAATGAGTTGAATAAAGTTTGACTTATCTGACTGTTTTGTTTCACTTAATGGACCTCATAATCCGGTGCGCATTATAGTTAAAAAAAAAAAAAAAAAACATAGAAGCTGTTTTTATTCAATATAAGGATTATTAACAGAGCAGACCATAAGTACTTTGTTTTCTCTCCTTTACTTTTTTGGTTGCCATGACTTCAAGGTCAACTATAATATTGGCAACTATTAGGTAAACTGCTCTGTTTTTTGTAGAAACTTTAAAGTACACAAATTACCGCTAATAAAATAATTACATGTGAAAGGGGTCAAATGAAAAAGAATAAATGAATGAGGTGTTTTTGCCAAATCACGTTTTGTACAGTATGTTAGCCTTAGACATTACATTGATAAATCTTAAGACTGAACTTTAAGTATTTATTTGTACACGTGAAACAGATGGCGAGATGAAAGTAAAACAAAGATGTTCGTTTTAACTTCATTACTACAGTAGATGTATTTTTCAGGTCAGTAAAGTGTGTTTTCACTGAATCAGCATTATAAATGACTCCTTGTGTCAGAAAGGCCTCTTAATGGGTAAGCATCTGTGAAATTGGAAACTGGTATTAAAAGATAAAGTGTTTGTGTTTGTCGTTATCATTGAAGGTTATCTTAATATAATTTTTTACAGTGTTTACTGTTTAAACATATAGCACTTACTTACTTTATCTCAACAGACATGTCCAGATACTTCCACTCCTTTGTGCAGTTTGTCGTCTCGCTCTGGCCTTTCCCATCCAAACTCCACCTGCACACGGTACCTCTTTGTCTTCTTTTTTACTCGTAATATAAATATTAAATATTGTTAATAAGTCAATGAGTTAAAAGTAACTGAAAGGACCAAAAGTTTGTTTAAAGTACAATTTACGAAGACTTTTTTCTTCATATTCTGGACTCTGATTTACTTGTTAATTTATTTTTCAGAGGATGTGCGGCAGCTTCAAGTGAACATCCCTCACTCAGGTCTAGTTCTCACCCCTTTGGGAAGCTCCATCTCCATCCCCTGCTTCGTATCTCTCTCCTCCTCCTCCTCCTCTCCTCCAGTGGTACCTCGGGTAAAGTGGACAGTGGTGTCCGGTGGGGTAGAGACGCAGATCTTGGTAGTACGAGGTCAGAGGGTGAAGATCAACGATGTGTACAAAGATCGGGCAGCGTTGTTTAACTACACGTCCTCCCCTGACGACGTGTCCCTGTGGTTAGGAGATCTGCGCCACAGCGACTCGGGTCATTACCGCTGTGAGGTGCAGCAGGGGCTGGAAGATTCCAGCGACGTGATTCAAGTCAAAGTCAATGGTGATTGATATATTGGCATTGATGTTTTTGTATGATAAATTCTCCCCAACAGCCATGATCTGTCTTATTTCTGTGCATGTGGTGCACCGTGTGTGAATATATTCATTTTTATGTGTGTCTAGGGGTCGTGTTCCACTATCGAGATGCTTTGGGCCGGTATGCCTTTTCCTTTCAGCAGGCCCAGAGAGCTTGTAGGTCCATTGGTGCACAGATTGCAACTCCTGACCAGCTGCTGGCAGCTTATTATGATGGGTACGAGCAGTGCGACGCAGGCTGGCTCGCAGATCAATCCGTCAGGTAGTTTGTCACCATTTTTCTTTTTTTTTTTTATACGTTATGATCAAACTACAAAATATTCTTGAAGCTTTACTTTAAAGTTTTCTAATGATTATGATACGTTTATGATTTCCTTGATGCAGGTATCCAATCCAGGTCCCTCGTGAAGGTTGCTATGGAGACATGGATGGGCAACCAGGAGTGAGGAACTATGGGACAATGAACCCAAATGATCTATATGATGTGTACTGCTACGCCGAACAAATAGATGGTATGAATTAAAGCTATAAAATGTTTTTGTGTGCTGAATTGTTGCCAATTTAAAAGTCAAAGATGCACAGATCACATTTTACCACGTTTTTAAAGCTCCAGCTGGTCAATTCCAGTTTTTGAAGTACTATATGATTAATAGCAGACAATATATTTGACACTATATAATACTATATTTATAGCTGAAATTAAGCAATCTCTGTTTATCATGAACAGCAAAACAAGCTTTTTCGTTAAAACTAAAAGAGCTTTCCCAGTGGAAATCTATAAACAACATTCTCCACTTTATGAAGAAAAGTGTTTGTAACAATTAAAAAAACTAACAGAAAAATACATATCACTCAAATAAGACAGATTATTGCCATTTACAGTTATCAATTTGTAATTAGATTTTTTGCCCTCCTCAAAATATATATGTATAATAATAATAATAATAATAATAATAATAATTCCACCTTTTCACAACAGTATTTTTTCTTATAACTTCCATTTAAAACAATTCACTGGTGTCCAACATTATACAAACAAATAAATAAACTAAACATCACTGATTTACTGTTAAATGCACTGCAGTAGCTCAGTGGTCAGTGTCATCATAATCTTGAATCAGTGGGTTTGAGCCCCGGTTGTTACTGGTCTAAAACAAATGCCAAATTTCTTGTGCAGGTTTGCTAACTGTGGTGACCCATGAAAAGTGGATCAATGAGAAAACAAATACTTTTATATGTTTTATATGTTAGGCTGCCTTCAGGCCCAGGCCTCCCGTGCACAAGAGATCTGTGATCTCAGTGGGATTTGCTGGTTAAGTAAAGGTTAATAAATATGTGGTAAATTGTGCAATATTTATTAATGTTATTGTAACTTAAATGGGAAATTGTAGCTTGATAATTATAACAATTTAGCTATTTAATTACATTTGTTAACCTGCTTGCTAATTATAGCTTTTACAAAATAAGCTTGTCCTAAATGTCACCTGTTTAAATGACCCATGAGGCCTCAGTTTTAAAACCTAAGCCTTGTGGGTTATTTTGATCCAAGGGCAGCAGGAGGGTGAAGTTACAGCTGGAGGTTAAATTGAAAAATTCTAGTTTATATGTTGCTGAACAGTAAAATGAGCTGCAGAAAGTTCTCTGTACCAACTAGTAGCCTCCTACACATTTTTTGTTTGACTTTGTTTCTAAACACTGCAGATAAAAGCTTACTTTTAATTTTCTTCACTTAATAAAAACTTTCATTCTGCAGCTGTGTTGTTAACAATGTAAACTAGTGTTAGTTGTGGCGTCACATGCTCAAAATTAACAACAAACATATTTGCAATGCAGTAAACATAGTAAGATAAGACAATAATGGAAATATTTTGTGTTTAAAGGGGAGGTGTTCCACGACTCCGTTCCACAGCGGTTATCGTTTGATGAGGCACGGTCTTATTGTGGAGCTGCAGGGGCAGAACTAGCAACAACAGCACAGTTGTACTTGGCGTGGAGTGAAGGACTGGACCACTGCAGTCCTGGTTGGCTGGCTGACGGCAGCGTGCGTTACCCTATCGTAACCCCAAGAGAGAGATGTGGAGGCCCTCAAGCAGGCGTCAAGACTCTGTACCGCTTCAGGAACCAGACTGGTTTCCCAGAACCGTTCAGGCTTCATGATGTTTATTGTTTCAAAGGTGGGTCTCTTGTTCCACAACTACAAACTGTATATACGTATAATACAGTGTCAATGCAAAGGTATAATTGCTACTTTGTCTTCAACAGGAAAAAGGAAAACCTCTAGTGACTCTCCGATGGACGGTGTGCTCACAGAAGCAGAAGACATTGAACAAAACGTTATACTTTTTATGGAAACACATCAAGAAATTCAACTTAATCAACAAGCAGAACAGGTGGAACGAGAGGTGCAAAGTGTACTTGAGTCTTTGCCCGTTTTGTCAAGCCCTTTCACTGTAGAAAGCCCAGTTGACACACACCCAAAGGTTACATCCGACGTTGCAGAATCCACCCCGAACACATCATCTGCACTAGACCTCCTTCAACTAGTTAATGAAACCTCAGAAACAAGCTTGGACTCTGAGCATCCTACTGAAGTCATGAACACTACCATCAGCAAAACTGAAACCTACAATTCAACCCAGAGCACACCATTTTCACTCGGTGTTTACAATCAAACAGATTTCCACCAAAACCTAAGCTTCACCGTTCTTCAGTCTGAGCTTGAGAGGACCACATACAAACCTCACAATGAGAACCAGACAGGGCCAGGCATTAATTTTGAGCAGACGACACATCTACCTGAAGAGCAACAAGAATTACAAAACACCAGCTTAAGTTTTGAAAAAGCACACGTCAATTACAGTGACACAGAAAGCAACTACACTCGGGAGGAGAGCTTCTGGGAGGCAACTACGATAACAGTTGAGCCAGTGCTTCATGGGAAACTGGAGGAGGCAGCAGAAGACCCTGAGCAGATGTCGCTCTCGACTCAGGCATCTCAGGAACAAGGAACACTTTCAACACATGTAACTCAAACTGCAGAATCAGCCATTGAGACTTCAACCTTACTGTGGGACTACATAGATGGATCTGGAGATTATTCTCAAGGTATGTCAAGCATTTGTATGTGTCCATCTAAAACAAAGACTTTTGCCAATAATACTTTTATGGATTGATACCTCTCTCTACTTGTGTCCATCAGGAGTCCAGACTATGCAATATTTGATAAGATAGCTGTTTATCTGTTTCCATATGGTTCTCATCAGTTTAGAAGCATTGTTATATAACTCAACCAATCTTATTATTCTTCTAATTAATTTGTATTCTTTTCCAGAGAAAGACGTTGAAGCAGAAGAAGTCACCACATCTCTTTCTTCCACTGCTGGCTTCACCACACACCAATCACATTCTTTGGCTAGTAGAGCTCCTGCCGAACAGACTGCAGCTCCAGATTTTACCCTCTTACCTGGGTCACACAAAGTGGGCTCAGAAGTATTCTCCACATCACCACACCTATGGGAGTCCTCCATTTCTAGACAAGAAGGAAGTACAGGCTTAGACGCAGGAGACATGGAAATTGAAGAAATACAGATTCTCACAACGCAGTCACTAGAATGGGTTGTTTCTAAAGTAAGTTTAACTACCACTGAGTCTCCAGAGGAACTGAACACCTCTCAGTCACCGTCTGAATTTTCTATGGCACAGAATGAAACATCTGGTTTCGTACTGTACTTTGATTCTAGCACTTCTGCTGAAGATGCAAGTGGATATGAACCTAGTACTGGTAGTTCCTCTTTTCAAGAAGATAATAAACTTGCTCTAGCCTTTGAAGAACAAACTACAGCTACCCCAACCCATGAAGAGCAAGCCAATGTTTCCCTTTTGATGGAACAAGTTAAAGTTGCCCCAACCCATGTCCCTGAAGAAGCAAAAGTCATCACAACCATTTTCCATAAAGAAGAAACTAATGTTCCTTTGACATTTGATGAAGAAACAATGTTTACCACAACCATAACTCCTGAAGAAGGACCTAAGGCTGTCCCAACCGTTGCCCTGGAAGAATCGGCTAAAGTTACCCAAACCCTTGACCTTGAAGAAGGAGCTAAAGTCACTCCAACTAAAATTGACCTAACTCTTGATAAAGAAGACAAAACTCCTTCATTCATTAAACGTGAAGATGAATCCAGTGTCTCCCTGATCATTAAAGAAGTCACAGTTGTTCCAACCCAAGTACTTGAAGAAGAAGGTAAAGTTGTCCCAACCCTGGATCTTGGTGAAGAATCTAAAGTTGTCACAACCCTTGACTTTGCAAAAACATCAAAAGTTGTCCCATCTCTTGAAGATGAAACCAAAGCTCCCTCATCTCTAGATTTTAAAGAAGAAGCTAATGTTGCCCCAACTATTGAAGATGTCAAATTTGCTCCAACTCTTGTCCTCAAAGAAGATACTAAAGTTGCCCCAACCCTTGTCCTTGAAGAAGTTAAAGTTGCCCCAACCCTTGTCCTTGAAATAGTTAAAATTGCCTCAACTTATGACCTTGAGGAAGCAACTAAAGTTGCCCTATCTCTTGACTTTGAGGAAGAAGGTAGTGCTACACCAACCATAGAAGAAGAGGTCAAAGTTGCCCCAACCCTTGTCCTTGAGGAAATTAAAGTTGCCTCAACTTATGACTATGAGGAAGCAGCTAAAGTTGTCCCAACTCTTGACCTTGAGGAAGCAACTAAAGTTGCCCTATCTCTTGACCTTGAGGAAGAAACTAGTGCAGCACCAGCCATGGAAGAAGAGGTCAAAGTTGCCCCAACCCTTGTCCTTGAAGTAGTTAAAGTTTCCTCAACTTATGACCTTGAGGAAGCAGCTAAAGTTGTCCCAACTCTTGGCCTTGAGGAAGCAACTAAAGTTGCCCTATCTCTTGACCTTGAGGAAGAAACTAGTGCAACACCAGCCATGGAAGAAGAGGTCAAAGTTGCCCCAACCCTTGTCCTTGAAGTAGTTAAAGTTTCCTCAACTTATGACCTTGAGGAAGCAACTGAAGTTGTCCTATCTCTTGACATTGAGGAAGAAGCTAGTGCAGCACCAACCATGGAAGAAGATATCAAAGTTGCTCCACCTTTCGTCCTTGAAGGAAGTATTAAAGTTGCACCAACACATACCCTTGACAAGGTTAAAGTTGCACCAACCCATGTCCTTGAAGAAGTCAAAATTACCTCAACCGATGCTCTTGACAAGGTTAAAGTTGCACCAACCCATGCCCTTGAAAAAAATAAAGTTACCCAAACACATGTCCTTGAAGAAAATGAAGAAACACATGTTACCCCAAATTTTGTCACTGACAAAGTAAAAGTTGCCCCGACTTTTGTAACTGAAAACCTTAATGTTGCTCCAACCTCTCATTTTGAAAAGCAAACTAATATTTGGCCAGTTCATGCTGACTTCACTGTCTCTCCGCTCGATTCTCAAACTTCTGAATGGGCTCTGCTGACGACCACATATGGACCCCAAGAGTCTCTGGATGATGTTGAGTTTGGTCAGAAACCCTCAGTCAAAGCAGTTTCAGATGCACTGACAACTAAGATGAGCACAAAACCTACTGCTGCTGCTGTAAATACAGTCTCCCCCTCCATAATCACCACCCCTCACAGGTCCCAAACCATCTGGAGCCCAACCACCACAAGACCCAAGAGCTTCCATGAAACGATTGAATTACAGAAGGGGACCCATGTCATACCACCTGTGGATCATGCTTTGGTTGATGTTGAGCTCAGCCTCACTAAGCCACCCACCCTGCTTATCCTGCCCAATGAGAGGGCAGCTGTAGGTGGTGCAGGGAAGCCTTCAGGTAATGTTAAAACCACATTCACCAGCCTAACCGTCCTCTTTCTGCTCAGTGCAGTGATGCACTAAAACCCCTGGTTTGTTAGTCTCTGCTTCACCTTCTGTAAAACCCTCTACTTGCTTTTCATTGACTCCTCACATTGTTTTACTTGCAGTATGAGCAAGCCTACTGACCTTTCTTACTAAACTTAACTTTCAAACCCTTCTCCACTTCTGTCCTTGCGACTCCCTGCTCAAGATACTCACCGTTGGACAGTTTCCCCTTTGACATTTGTCAACAGTCTACTTGTGCATGGTGTTTTTTCTACTCATCCAAAATTTGACTTCTGTGAAGTACTGGTGTGTTTAAATGAACGTTTTAGTGCTTATTTTACAACATAGCCCCTTAAGAATGACGGTAACACCTTAGTGAATGTATTTTTGTAAGTTGAGCATTAAAATTTGTTTGCAAATAATCTATTTCTGCACAAAAACTGAAGCTAAAGGTCTTGAACTGCAAAAGTTCACAATGCCTGCTTGATTGGGCAGGCAGCGATTTAATGAATGTACCAGCAATTACAATGAATGTAATGGCACTAACCAATGCAGCTAAACAGTTTTATGTGTAACTGTTTTTCCACTTATGACTTTTTTTTTTCCATTTGCGTTGCTATATTAGCCAGTCTAGCACCAGAATTTGTAACATTTGACAAACTGAATTTCCTTGAATGGTTCAGAGCTTCAGTATATTGGGGTCTTGGGATCAGACTCAACTCCTTACTTTTGTTTGAAACTCATGGTAACATTTTGCACTAGTTAAACCCTGGAAAGAAATTTCTTGTTCAAAACATTTTTTCTTAGCTAAGCATAATTTGGTTAGCCATTCCAGTTTTTGACTATGGTGATGTAATTTACAGCTCTGCTTCCAAATCCCACCTCCATAAATTAGACCCCTTTTTAAACACCAAGCCTTTCAATATGTCACCGGAGCTCCCTTCAACGCATCACTGTACTCTTTATTCACTTATGAATTGGCCTCCTCTTCACTCTCACAGACGAACACTGGTTTCTGTGATTTATAAAATACCAATTGGTTTAATCCCATCTTACCTCCATTTGTTACTCAATATTAATAACATCTGTCCTTGTTGTTCCAGTAGCTACAACAATCTACATGTCTCTAAAGCACAAACTTTCTCCTGGTCATTCTCATTTTCTGCTGCTAACGGTTGAAACCATTTGCAACAGACTCTAAAGATATTTTTTGTTATTCGATTTTCATCTTTTAAAAGTGAAGGCATCACTTCATGATCACTGAACCTCTTGGTTGTTGTATATTTTTACTATGCATCTGTTTTAGTTATTTGATTGCACTGTGCTTTCGATATGTACAATTTAACATTTGGTTTGTTTTCTGTGCATGTTTTGTTGTTTTATCTTGTTTTATTTTTGCTGCCTGTTGGCCAGGTTGTTACTGAAAATTAGAATTTGTTCTCAACTGAATAAGTTAAATAAATGCCTTATTATTATTACAGAAACACAGATACAGTGTAAAAAATGTTTATCATTAAGTTTATCTTCTCACTTGTAGAATTTTTTATTTGTTTTGCCCTATTCTTCCCTTTTGATCTAAGTGTACGGTTCAATATTTCACTTGAAAAAAAAATCTAATTTCTACAATATATTTTCATTCATCAAAATGTAGAATTTGTACCTCTTTTTTTAAACACATAATTAATATTTAAATTGAATACAATCTTTGTGCATGAGCTGGCAGATTGATGCAGGAGTTAGCAGTATTTTTACAGTAAGCTGTTTAAATAGCACTTATTTTTGTCAAGTTTGCACGTCTTTTCAAATGTTTGCATTATTTGAAGCTCAAGTTGTGATTTGGTCTAAGATTAAACTACAGCAGTGTAAGCATTTGTACTTTCACACTTGTGTGTCTTTTGTTGCTCTGACTGACCTGCTAAAGTGTCGCTTCACCACAGGATAGTTGTGGTGTTTGTCCATGTTGAGGCAAAAGTCTCCTGCAGCTGTAACTTCTTCTGTACCTAAAATACTGCAACATAAAATCAGGAGACGTAATGCAAAACATAAACCAAGCTTAGAATAACTATTTGAGAGTCAGACCAGCACGTTAAAAGGATAATTCAGTTTTTTAAGGGGCGTTCTGATGAAAGTTTATGAACAATTATTTTACCCGATAAGGCTGTGAGCGGTCTAAGTTTGGAGAGTTTTATTCTAAATAGATCAACAGTTTGAGCAGAGCCAAAACTAAAGTACTCCATGACTGTTTACACAAATATGACTTTGTAAACCATTTTATAGCTGTCAATTCAGCATTTCATGGTTATTCTGGCAGAAACATGATGTTCCTGCTGGAAATGCCCAGGCTGCTCTGGAAGAGTTGCGACTAGCTGTTCCTGCTGCTGTTTGCACTTGCAAATATTCACTTAAGTCTAAGTAAATAACAACATAATGACAGTATAAAAAAGGTTTATAAAGTAGCGTTTGCACTCAGCAATCCACTTTGGTCTTGGCCCGGCTTGAACTAGTGGTTAGAGGTTAGCTCATGAATCTGGTCAGGATTAAACTTTATTTCTCAGGACTGAAGTGAGTCGAAGAGCTATCGACAACAGGTAAGATGTTAATTACTCACGTTTCCAGAGTACCCCGCTGCTATATGAACTATCGCTTTAAAATACAGCTGATGTTGTTTTTGTACAGATGTTATGAGGATGTTATTGTGTGAAAAGGGCCTGCTAGAGTTCACGTAACATATATAATCAGATTGTTTGGCCAAGAGATAGAATCTGTGTGTCTGTAGATGGTTGAAAATATTAGAAAACGTAAACTCAGTATCAAAATCGTAAAAAAAAAAAAAAAAAGTATTTCATTTTAAAGTTTCCATTTACTAAGTCTATAAGTCTCTTTACTGCTGCAGGAGCTTAATTCTAGACTGTCAAGGGATTGTTTAATTTTTTTAATTTAAAGAAAAATGGCCGATTAAAGAATAGCAGCAGCTCCCCAGTCATTAACTCTGTAAAACGCAGTAAAAAGTAAATATTTTAGAGGACATAAACATAAGAAAAGCAATCTTTTCAGACCAGTGGATCTTTCAGGTTTCAAAGATTGCTTTGTGATTTCCCATATAGCAGATTTGTTACATGTGCAAAAGTTAAAGTTGTTGCTTTGAGAGCATATGATTCTCATTTAGTGCAGAGAAAAGCAGTTATTACTGTAGCGCTCATAAACACAGCTGCAGAGATGGTTTTGAAATGTGAGCGTAAGCATATAATGACAAACAAGACTTAGTCTAGTTTACACAGAGATCAAAGCTTAGCTCGGCTTACTTAAAAAAAAAAAAGAGCTTTTTAAATCAAAACTTTTTTCTTTTAGGGTTTTAAAGTTTATTATCCAGCAACAAAAGCCAAGAAGTCATTTTTTTTCTCCTCGCAGAATCATCCAAAGAAGTTTCCAAAAAAGTTTTTTTTTTTAGCTTTAGTGGGCATTTTGTGGAGTTGGTAGTTTTAAAATGTGTCTGACAGATTTCTCTCACATGTCTCCTTCATACAAGGTTTTTCCATGGGAAACATGTCAAGCATGGTGGTCATATGTGCAAATAATACACGGTCACAGAAAAGGAAAAAAAGGTGTATTAATGTTATTATCAGATGCCTTTTCAGAAACACTGCAGTAACATTTGTCAAAATGCCTAACATCATTAATTAATCATAAAACTGAACACTTTATGTTCAAATAACAGCATGGCTCCATGATTAACACTTTGACACTAAGAGGAAAAAAACTTGTTTGGTTTTTAAAAGTTGCCGTTTTGGTCCATTAAATCCAAAAGAATGAAACAAAAATTCACTGCAGGGTCACGACAACAAAAAAAATATATACCTTTTTACATTTTGTGTTGTCTCTGATGCAAAACTAAACATTTTAAAGGGTAGATGTGGAACAAGAAAGAGGAACAAAAGACCCGAGGAGCTGACTCTGTGACGTTTGTCTCCTGCTGCCATCTCTTGGCTCTTATGGATGTGCTCTGCAGTTTGCAGAATTCGAGCAGGATCCAGTGATGCTTCCAGCAGTAATCATAAGTTTAGTTTATGAATAACCTGCAGTGGTGACCTGTTGTGTTTCAGATGTCTGCCTGGATGACCCCTGTCTGAACGGAGGCACTTGCTCCGACCGAGACGGACTCATTAAATGTCTCTGCCTGCCAACATACGGAGGAGATTTCTGTCAGACTGGTGAGCTCTCTGCTGCTTTAGAAACAAAACACAACGCAAAAAGATGTTTAATAAGCCGCAGGCAGACTGACTAACCAGTAAAATTGAAACTTTAATTGTGACATTTATGGGAACTCTATTAGTTCAACTAAATGATAAGACAAACACATTTATTCAGCATGAATCTCTTATTCTGGTTGCCCTGCCTCCCCTGTTGTGCTGTGTGCAGACTTGGAGCGATGTGAGCCAGGCTGGGATAAATTTCACGGTTTCTGCTATCGACACTTCAGCCAGCGTCAGAGCTGGGAGGTCGCCGAGCAGCACTGTCGCATGCAAGGAGCTCACCTGGCGTCCATCATGACCCCCGAGGAGCAGGACTACATCAACAGTGGGAGCTTCGTGAAGCAGCTTTTATAAAGTTTGTATTCATCTTTATTTTAATAGATGCTGTTTGTCCTCACCAGGTAATTACAAGGAATATCAATGGACCGGCTTGAATGACAAAACCATTGAGAATGATTTCCGCTGGTCAGATGGAAACCCACTGGTGAGGATACACACACACACACACACACACACACAGAGAGAGAGAGAGAGAGAGAGAGAGAGAGAGAGAGAGAGAGAGAGA